CAGTTAGCTGAGGTAAAATTCTAAACATTCATGTTCATATTGAATGTCATAAACGGTGTTTAACCAATTGATTCATATATTTCAGGATGATCCTTCGAGCATTCCCATTGCTATTTCTTCTTTTATTGGAAAAACTATGTTGTTCAAGGTTTCAATCACAAATGACAATTTGAAGAGTTCCAAATCTGCTTATGTTGTTGAAAAATTTTGGGGAAAAGAAGATATGATAGTACAATTTGTAAAGGTATAATGTTACGAATATTAATATTAGCTATTTTGTGTTAACGAGAGTCTTTTTATGTAATATATTCATGGTGATTGTTGTGACTTATAGGAGAGCTATGGAAATGTCGATGTCAATCCTCGGATTCTGGAAATTACCGATGGAATAGACGAAAGTTGTTCGGCTGATTCGGTTACATCTTCGTCGAAGAAGAGAACTTCTCGAAAGAGTGGCGACTCCGCGAATAGTCATAATATGATTACAAGGAAGAAGATCAAAACCGAAAAACCAACATAGTATTGTTTTATTATTTACTGTGGTATTCAAACATTCGATGTTTCCGGTCATTATGCTTTATTATCTTGGATTTTACAAACTTTCTAAGCTTTAAATATTGATTTAATTATATGGTTTTACGCAAACTATATTATTATATATAATAATGATTAGTATTAGGTTTATATTATTAGAAGATATATTGAAATATCATAATATTATTATAAACTAATGGTGCAAAAATGAAAATGGTTAAACAAAGTATTATGAATATTTTAATGTTTGATAAGACAATACAAGTAAGAATATATACACTTTATAAGTTACTAAATTACCCTTAATATAGAAAAATGTTTGGTGTGACAATACAAGTAAGATATTAGAAATATTACATAAATGCTTAATATCTCTTAAATTTTTATAGTTATAGGAAACTGTTTGGTGTGACAATAAAAGTAATATATATTACTAATACTCAATTGTGTTTATCACAATAGGCAAAATTTCTAATTTAAAGGATCATTAAAATGTAAATAATAATAATAATAATAACTAAATGGAAATATACAAATTTTGTTAATTAATAATTTAAATAAATTATAAGATCAATACAAACGATAATATGATAAGCATGAAATCGCTAATTTTCACATAATAGATTCTCCTCATCCTGAGGTTATATATTAGATACACAATTTATTAAAACCTATCGTCCAGTTTTAAACCTAAACATAATTATTGTAGCATAATTATTTACGGTGTTTTTAAAATTTGTTTGCAGGTCGTTACACGTAGACAAATACGATGAGACCTGAAAAGCTTCCGTATCGGAGGAAGAAAGATGCACCTCATGGTATGCCTAAAAAGAATAATTCTATCTTTGAAACTGTTATAAAAAATTCATAATTATAGAACTATGATATTTAAATTTCTAATTTTTATAATTCAGGTCTTAACACTCGACATAGTTACCCAGTTTTTAAACCTATTGAAGATGTCTCCATAACGAGACCTACAAAGCTTCCATTCCGTAGAAAGAAAGATGTATCTCATGGTTCGACAATAAAGAGTAACTAGATCTTTGAAATCTATAAACAAAATAAGAATTATACAACGATGATATTTGCAAATTTCTAATCTTTATGATTCATGTGTTAATTCGAAACATAGTTACCAGTTTTTAAATTTAAAACTATAACAGATGTCTCTATAGCTAGATCTATACATCACCAGTTCGGAGACATCACACACAATAACGTAGGTCAAATCGAAAGGATGAATAGAATGCGTGTTTTGAGATCCCGGAAAACGGAGAAGGATAACCAAGGTAACATTATCTTTAATTAAATAAAGTTCAAGTGAGTAGAATACCTACTCATTAAATTATAATATGCATCAATATGCTAACCAATTATTGGTCATTCTATAGAAACTTTGCTACTACCTGGATTACAAGAAGATTTTGTATGTTATATTGCTACTGATTCGGAGTCAAATAGAGGAAGCGAGAATGATATGTCTACCGACGAGTCTGAGACCGAATATGGTGATGATAATACAATGTCTAATAATGTAATCGGCGGATTTACGGCTGTAAGAGCTGGATTACAAGAGAACGGTTCGTTTAGTTTCCACTTTTAGTATTCTTATTGAATTACTATCACTAATAATAATAATAACAATAATCTGTAAATCACTAACAATATCAACAATGCTTATGTATTAAAACTTTGCGCAGGGTATTACGATGATGGAGATCCGTTTTATATCTGTGAGAATTGTGGAGCCTATATGTGGTTTGGAGAGCGTGTGAATAAAAACTCCAAAAAAGGAAAGCCAATTTTTTCAATGTGTTGTCGTCACGGAAAAATTAAGCTCCCTTTACTTAAACCTCCACCGAAAACGTTGTCATCGTTGTTTTATAATCACGATGATAGGAGTATCAACTTTCGTGATAATATAAGAGCATACAATATGATTTTTTCGTTCACATCTTTAGGGGGCAAGGTTAACCATTCTATTAATGATGGTGCTGGACCATATCTGTTTCAAATGTGTGGAGAAAATTATCATCGTATTGGTGATATTTTGCCAGAACCGGGGAAAACACCTATGTTCTTACAACTATATATTCATGATATACAGAATGAGGTTTCTAAAAGAATAAGTGCATACGGGTAATAATAACATCTTTGTGTTATTTTGTATAATGTTTCGATTTAATTTTCTAATAAAAATAAAAAATAATTCATATTTTTTGTGTTTTTATAGAAGATCTGGATCGACTGAAAATTTGAGGCCTGACACTGTAGAGCTAATCAAGAAGATGCTTGATAATCATAATCCACACGTCCGGGCTTTTAGGTCAGCAAGAGAGAGATTCGATATGGATTGCGGTGTTGAAGATTTAAAATTACGTTTGCCTTCGGATAGAGCTTCTGATGCGAGAACTCATAATTTACCTACCTGCAATGAGGTGGCTGCTTTAATTCCAGGTGATTTTAATTGCGGTGAGAATAAACGTGATATTGTTATAGAAGGTCGTTCAGGCAATTTACAAAGAATAAGCGAGCTTCATCCGGCATATTTACCTTTACAATATCCTTTATTGTTTCCATATGGAGAGAACGGTTACCGGTTAGGGATTGACATAGGTTTTATAGATACTGATGGACGGAAAAGGAAAACCGTGAGCATGAGAGAGTTTTATGCTTATCGAATTTTAGAGAGATATGGAGAAGCTTCTACGATTGTCATGTCCGGAAAATTATTCCAGCAGTTCTTAGTGGATGCCTTCACGACTATAGAATCAAACAGATTAAATTATATTTGGATGAACCAAAAAAAACTTCGGACAGAAAGAATAGATAAGATACTCGAAGCTGCTGATAAAGGACGTACTGATCTTTCAGAGCATGGGAAAAGGATTTACATACCTTCGTCGTTTACTGGAGGAAAACGGTATATGATGCAGCATTATTTAGATGCAATGGCCACTTGCAAATTCTTTGGT